TCATGAGTGTGATTAAGTAAATAAGTAAAACCCATAATTTTTTGTGATTTTCGATAAGCATTGAATAATATGTTGTTACTATTTCTCTATTAGTCCATTAATAAGCATCGTGAACAACAATATTCAGAGATTTAAAAGCACATCAACAAGTGAACCAAATCCATGGTCAGAAGAGGAAAACAGAAGGAAACAATCAGTTCATCAAAAAATTGTCCACGATTCACGTTCAGTGCGTAAAACAGGTGGCAATTGCAGAAAGACAAACGGAGAATTTAGGTTTGGTGAGAAGCGTACTTGACAAGAGAGAGAAGTCGCTTCTCGGAATTGATGATGTGGTCGGTGGAAGTGGGTATCCAACGTAAGACGGAAGGCCAAAAGCGTCGCGAGGTTGCCGTGGAAACAGAAGCAGCAGAGGATTCGAGGTTGCTCTTTCCAAGGTCTTCTGCCATTCTCATAAACCAACGAGAACGAATTGCGTTCATCCAATAACGAATAAACCAACTAACAGTGACTCTGTTTGGTATCAGAGTAGATGGAAAAGTTACAAATGATTTGAACAAATTGAGAAAGATTTGAAGCAGAAGAGAGGAAAAAGTTTTAAGCAGAAAAGAGAAGAACAACTGTCAAATTTGCTGATACTGAAACAACGAGAACGGAGCAGAAAGAAGAAAAAGGGAACATCGGAGAAAAAGCTTACGCGCGCAATGACGCATGTGCACCTTAATTTTTACTTCTTATAATTTAGAAAATATAGTATTTTATAGTTGTTATATATTTTTTTTAGTTATTATTTTTTTAGTAATTATTAAAACCTTAGAGACTACAAATTTGAGATTTTGGAACAGGCTTAAATTATGATTAACTTTGAATCAGAAAATAGTTACTTTAAAGAATAATTCTGAAAAGAAAATCTTAACAAATTTTTACGATATATAGTTGTGAAAATTTAATTGATATTTATATATATAGTAAGTAGTTATGTGATCCACTATGTAATTTTTGCTTGTTTGTTTGTTGTTATTAGAGAAATTAGAAAGAACCCAATATCTAGGTTTTATGATAAATGATAGAAAATAAACTAAAAGAAATATTAAATATTAAATTTTATCAATGTAATTAACTTACTTAAATTATTATATTATTCATATTTTTATATGATATATCATTTTTTTTATTTATTAAAAATATTAATAGGACGGTAATAAGTATGGCTTTGATGTTTATTTATTCTCCTTTGCATATTATAAAAATTTATATTAATTTTTATTTTTCATGACTTCTAGTATTTTTTAACTTTTTAATTTTATTTTTTTACATTTAAAAATTTCTATAGTTTTTAAGCAAAAATAGCGATACGAGACACAATGATTTGCACTCAAATAAAAAAAAATATTATTGTAATATAGATATATCAGTTATAAAAAAAACATAGTTTACTATAATAATGTATACTTAAATCCTACAAAAAAATATTAGTTTTTTACTTTTTGTTAAATTTAAAATGTGCAAATTCTGTTTTAAAAATTTTCATTTGTATCAATTCTGAAGGTAGACTTGCACCGCACACAAAGGCTTGACTTTTCATTCATTTTGAATTAGTTTAGCTGCTAATGATGTTGAAGATGTTTCAACCTAAGTGACTCTAAACTTTTACAAAGTTTTATTTAAAAAAAATACTCGAATAACATAAAATTTATTTTTATAAGCTTCGATAATATTCAAAATATCTTGATACTAATAATGTCAACACAAAATAAATTATATACGCCATTTTAAACAGAGAAATCTTATTTAATGCAATGTGAAGTACATTATTTTTAACTTATTGTTCAGAAAGAGGTAGCATTATTTTATTTAATTGACAAAAGTCTTTATGAAGCAATTGATATTAGTAATTTTAATTATTAGAATTCAATTAAAAATTACTTTTATTCAAACATTTACATTCGTTATTTAAATATTTATAATATATTGAGATTATGGGTTTCAAAGTGGAATTTATATTCATTTGTGGCAATTTAATACAATGACCATTTTAATACCATTATAGGAATCCCAATTTTCAAAAGGTAAATTGATATGAAAATTCAGTTTTAGAATACTAACGTCAACTTCATTTGCAAAATTCATTTTATACTGTTTTAATTTACATTTTGAGTTTTACTATTCAACATTAAGCATATAGTATTACAAAACAAATGGAAATATTCAAATAAAAGGCAATAACAGAAACGTAGCAAGCTTAAATGAGAAAATCAAATGCAAATTATAAGCAAACTAAAAGTAATGCCTGACAACTCTATGCACGAAGGCAAAGAGTGCCATAGTTTCATCGCGTAGATTTCAAAGCACCAAAACCTGTGATGTACTTGGCCGATGCAAAACCATTATCTCGAATGTGATCTTAACATCCAATGGTTGGCAATCCAACTAAATATGAAAAATAAATTGCAACAACCTTTCGATTCATCTATAAAGGTAATTAGAGATGAACAGCACTGTAAAGATTAAGAGATATCAGAAGCAGCACAAAGATCAATACTGAGAGAACGTAATATGTTTTACACAAGGCAACTCTGAAGATATAGTATGCTGTGACATCTATGCATTATACAGTATGACTTTTTTTTTCATATTTTTTCTGACCTCTGTCGAATGAGAATTCAAAATCCAACATCAAACCTAGAAACATAAAGCCAAAATGGTTATAGCAAGATGATACAGCACAAATGTGTATTATACAGTACTGTACCCATAAACGATGCCGAATCATACCAGAAATGCGTCCAAAATAGAGTCTGAGGGTAAATTTTCCACTGGGGTATTCAGCCATTTTGAAATAGCATCACTAAAAATTAGGCTCATTCTCCTAGTAAATAAAAAAAGTACCACCAAGCAAACAACACAGATATTCTTGGCAACCAAATAGGTGCAACCAATATGAAAGGAATTCACAGGTTTGACCTATTGGGAGGGGAGAGGAGGGGGAGACTGCTGCTATGCAAAGACAAAATATGTACTCACCCCTAGATACACCCAGTGGAATTTAATTTCCCCAGCAGCGACATTTTTTAATCCAATAACACATACTGGTGGCTTGAAGACAGTCTGCAGCAGAAACAAAAGCAATAGAATCATAAACATGGCCATCCACCTCAACACTTTACAATGATACATACAGGTGAGAAAACAGAATAAACCTGAAAATTGGTTCTGAAGAAGGTAATAGTTCCAAATACATCAAAACAAACGGAAAATACAGAATACCTAGTTCCTCCCATTAGTGAATGAAATGATCTTTCTCAGCCTAGAAACCATCAGAAGAGCTGTAAGCATAATTAGTACAGGAGAACGACCATGATAGAACAGCAGCCCAATAATTACACACAAAGTACATAACCATATAAAAAGTCTTGGGCTGTTGGGCATCCCATGGCGCAGTCCTTTGAATCATCATTATAGTTACATTGACGAGCTTGTTTTGCAAGGAGGCGATGTATCTATTTAATTATTTTAAGCACACATGAGGAGGCTGACTAAACTATAAGTAAACAGGGTGTTCGCACATGTGCAACACAGACGAACAAAATAGAGAATGAGACAGAAGAAAAATAATTGGAGTAACAAAGTATCTTACAAAAGTTGGAATAATTCTTTCCCGTCTTTGGAGAATGAAGAAAAAAAGTTAGTAATTGATGTTAAACTTAAATAAGAAAAATGTTTCTAGTAGGACATAGAAAATGGATATGTATGCTTGTCATCACTAGAACAATGCTAAGCTGTACAAATTGAAGAAATTGATAAGGTCATTTAATGTCTTGCCCTTCAGAAACCCCTTCAATAAAAATGGGGTCTAGTTTTTCAATCCTCAAAGGAATAAACCTCGATGAAAGATGATATATTAATCGACAGATGAATGCAACCTGCCGTCATCTTTAAACCTGCCAATACCCATCACCCTCAACATCCAACTGATATTTTCAATGAGTCTGCTTAGGTGTTGAAGCCTGTTTACTGGCAATCTACCAGCTGTATCTGGAATTCCGTTCAAGATTTTGCTAAGAAGGAATTCCATAGAACCCGCTTGATGTGAATGGATCAAGTTGTGTCTTTTTAATTATACCTTCTAGATCATTTACATAGGCAGATTGAGGTGCTCATGTGAGATCATGCTCATGGCCATCAAAACAGTGAGAACTGAAGTAGGAAGAAGAACCAGACTTTGGCAATTGTTACAAAAGACGTACAACAAAGTACAAACAATTCCCATCCAAAGAACATTAAGATTTCACATCTGATTTCATTGTCATGTGTCTCTCAATCAGTATATCCACAAAGGATCGAATCTGCATGTTAGGCATCAAATGAAAGTCGGTGAGAAAGAATAAATAAGTTAAAAGGGGATGTCAGAAGTGCATACATATTAAAAAGTAAAATAAGAAAATAAATAAATGATTATGGGCATATTTGATTCCTATATTTGAAATATATTCCATTTAAAAATATTTTTAACAACAGTAGTTTTCGAAAATTATAGTAAAAAGTAATTCTTTTTTTCAGATTTTAAAATAAAAAAAAAAATCAGAACATTTTTGTTTAGGTTTACTACTATCAGTTTTCTAATACTAATATTCCACCTTAAAATGTTCCATCTTCCTCCACTCCCACATTCTAAACAATAGTTTTCTATAATAGCTTTTAGAAACTACAAAACAAAAGTGCAATCAAACACACCGTAACGCAGCTGACCCAATCCAACCCCACCCCTCAAGAAGCTGGAGTCCAATCAGTAAATCATGCCTATTAAGTAACATGAATAACATTTTCTAGAAAACAAGTATTCTGCAGAAGTATCGTATTATCAGTACCAGTAGATAAAACTGACACGGGAAGTAACAGAAAATTACCTTATTCTTCCGCTTAAAATCTAGAAACTCACGTACAGTCATGGCTTTTTCTGCGTCCGTAGCTTGCTCCATTACCTGAAACTTGTACCCACAAAGTTACAAAAAGGATGAAGAGCGTATTTCACTGAAGATAATATTCAAGTAATCCTTATAACCTCCTGCCAACCAGGTCACAGTGTAACACTTTCTTAATTTAGCAAATAAACAGTTTTAGAATATAGGGAAATATTAAAAAAAAAAATCATATGTCACCAAACCTTTGTTTATCCTCTGGAATAAATTACCCGGTTACATTCTCTTACAATCAATTACCACATTTAAACTTACCATGATCTGTTCTCCTAATTCTGAATATATCAAACACATCAATACATACATTGTAATGCACCTCACTTAATATCAAATAGCATTTCATTCTCTTTTACCTCTCTGACTCCCTCTATACTTAAAAAACATAATTTCAACAGAAAGAAGCAAAATGCAGAATAAAAATTACCTTTGTTGCACTTTTCTTCATTATAGCCTTGTATCCATCCTTGTCTAGTTTTCTTGCCTTATAAAGGGGCATCAGCAGTGATGCAACATAGTCCACAACAGCCTGTTTAATATGATCTGCTGCTCGGGAATGACTCTTCAGGGCCTCCTTATTTACAGTAACCTGTGAAATAGAGCTCTCATTAGCAACACCATCACGCTTCCAGATTGGTAGCTTTGAACAGGCATTTGAGTCCTCCTCGTCCTTCAAATCAATGGTTGGGTTAGAAAAATAAGAATCTGCTGCAGCT